AGAAAGAAAGAAAGAAAGAAAGAAAGAAAGAAAGAAAGAAAGAAAGAAAGAAAGAAAGAAAGAAAGAAAGAAAGAAAGAAAGAATAGGGGTTGGGGAAACTTCTGTGTGGACGTACATCCATATAGTATTATCAAGGTGGTTTATTCTAGGAAAAACTAAAGCCAGAGCTTTAATTACTTGTACTTAATCTTTAAATATGCTATTTAATAGAATCCGTATCCAGAGTAAACTATGATAATAAAAGTCTGAATTATTCACAGATCAAAATTTAAGTAAGTATTCATTCACTGAATGAAATGTAAATAACTTGTAACCCTGACTGTTAAATTTTGTGTTCTGCTTTTCAGTTCTGTGTTTTGTACCAGAGTGCTGGAAAATAAACAATTTATATAGCTTTAAGGCAGGGGTGGGATTCAGTTTTTTTAAAAAACCGGTTCTGTGGGCGTGACTTAGGTGGTGGGCATAGCTTGGTGGTCATGTGACTGGGTGGACATAGCTTGGTGGTCATGTTATTGGCTGGATGTGGCCAACTCAATATTACTCACATCGAAGCACACATCTCTTTGCCAGGCCTCTCAAGACTGTGGGGATGCTGCAACAGTCGTAAGTGTGAAAAAAGGTCATAAGTCACTTTTTTCAGTGCCATTATAACTTTGAATGGTCACTCCACACAAGCAAAGTACTAGCAAAGGAGGGGGGGAAAAAACTCCAGAGAAGTTCCAGAGACACTTCCTGCCAAGAATGTAATGAGGGTTAATGGAGAGGCAGTTTCTGTAAGCAACATCAGAATGTTTCCTTCCTGCCTTCCTTACAGGATTAGGCCAGTAATTTCTTCTAACAACTGGTTCTCTGAACTGCTTAGAATGTTAACAACCGGTTCTAGCGAATAGGTGCGAACTGGTAGAATCCCACCCCTGCTTTAAGGGGAGGAATTCTGAACTTTTCTATGAAGAATCATTGCCAAAATGTATTTAATTCAAGATACAGTAAATTACTATAATTAAAATAGGTTGCTGTAAAATATTGGGTGAAAAAGGTTGTTGAAAAGCTTAATGCATGATATCAGAAGCAACATTTTCCTACTCAGAAATAATAGTCTGATATTCTTTTGAATAGTGTAAATGCTATGCTATTTTTGATGGGTAGAGAAATATATTGCTTGTTTATAAACTGGAGTTCTGTAATGAACTGGAGCTAAATTTAACCAGACACTTCTTTATAAGTTCCAGAATTGAAAAGGCTGAACTATCCAGAAAGACCATATGATCTGCTTTATTTTTATTTCATGAAGAATATTAGAGAATGTAATTCTAAGGATAAATGATAGCATGGTCAAATTAAATCTGAGATGGTTCTTAAAAATATTAACCCCTATTTTAAAATTCATTCATTCATTTATCAGATTTAGAAACCCATCTTACTCACAGAGCAACTCTGGGTGGTTATACAGTTAATTTTTTTATGATATCAATATGTCCTAGTATATTTAAAACTGCACAAACCGTTAACTTTTCCCCAGGCCATAGATGCAGCTATGAGAGGAAGCAAAAGCATAAACTAAGCTATGTGATAATTAATTACTATGAAAATTAGAGTACTGTACCTTTCCCCCTAACTTTGGCCCTTTGCCTTTAAATGCAGTCTGTCAAGAGAAATTTAATAAGTTAAAACATTTTAATGCAGTGATGAATAGAAATTGCAGAAATTTAGATATTTCTAAATATCTATATATCAGAGCTGCAATATGAAAGTAATATTGGGAAGCAGTTCAGAAATTCATTTAAAATAGACAATTATCAAATGGATAACATATGCCAAGTGTTGTCAATGTGGATGCTAAACTGAAGATTTTTAGGTGGTGTCCACAGGCTCAAATTTAAAGATTTTTTTTAAAACCAAAAATGTGTAAAGTTGTGGTAATTTGTATTGTTAGAAGGGTTCATATATAACACATATCTTCCCCACAAAATAAACTTGTGAGGCATATTGGGCTGAGAGAGAAAATGAGCAGCCCATAGAGTAAAAAACCACGCAGTAAGATGCTATGGCTTTCAGTTGATGTCTCCATTGTGCTGATCCACACCTTAATTACCACACTGTTCTAGCTCTCCATTTTTGCATATCTTGTAATATTACTAAAGGGTATGTCTAAAGTTTCACATCATCATTTTCATGTCTGACATCTGAAAAGTTTGTTCTGTCAATGAGAGATACAACTTAATTTAGTCTCTTTCAAGAGATTTGAGTTAAATTCCAAGATGTTCAGGTGGCTTAAGGGTAAAGATAGTAAAAATCTGCTAGTAAAGTAAAATAAAATAAATTGTGAATAAAGCAAATGAAATAAAATGAGACATAGAGCAAATGGATTATCTTGTCTGCTCATCAATGCCATCTTCAGCTCTCCTCCACAAAGCAAGATTATTGCAGTAGTTCATTGATAGTTTATAAATGTTATTTTGGGAGCAGGCCTTTACTATTGCAAATAGCATAGAAACCTAACAATTCAGTCTATCCTACTCCCATTTGTCAGTTATGCCAAGTAGAAAGTCCATTGTTGCTGCAAAACGCTAACTCTCTTAGGAAGCTTGAACTTTACTCTTTTTTAGTGAGATTCTTCAACACACGACTGATAATTGAGCTTGAAACTTTGTCATCTAATTGCCCTATTAGAAAACTGACTAGAAACTGTGCTCATAAGTATAAGAAGTGTACTAAACCCAGCATCCAAGCCCAGAAGAAGATAATAAGCAAATCAAGTGGCCAACATAGGCATTGATAGTGAAGAGGGAGTTGTGTCTTCTTATAGGCCTGTTTTATATAGGTTAGAGTCCTGATAAAAATGCAGAGCTCTAGAATGTTCCAACTGAGTTTCTACACAGGCACATAAACCATGTATGTACTATCACAGAGGATCATCTGAAGAACTACAGTTACTGTTAAATTCGTTTAGTGTGTGTTAAACGTGATATTGATACAGTTTATATTGTGAGTGAGGCTGGAGATAGTAGTCAAAGCCCCTTGTATCCTGTGTTTGGAAGTTATTTTACAGTGATAAGTTAATAAATATCACAAAGAAGGTTTTCAAAAGGGTTTCATAGTCCCCTGATTCTTGAGGATTACTTGTTTCCCACAGCTAGCTGATTTGCAGTGAGATCATGGAAGGGGGAGATTTTTTTTTTTGTCCATCCTCCTTGATCAATGCAATATAACAGAATTGTCAAGAAGGAATTTTGGCAGTAGCTGATGAATAAAATGAAGCATAATGGGTAGCGTAGAGTACTTCTCTTTTCTACTATATAGAATAGGATTAATAAATGTCACCATAGGTGTCCTTATATATTTCAGATTTGGCTTTTTTCATCATAGTTTGGAAAAAAGGAAACAAAGTGAAACAATCAAAATTGCAAATATATATCTCAGCTACTGGTATGATATAACATTTTTCTTCAAATTTGCTAATTTTCAGTATATTGCAAACCCCCTAATAATTCATTTTGCTGAATAGGATGAATGTGATGGCAATTGGTTTCTGGTCCTGCTTATAACTTTCAAGGGATCATTTCAGGCTGATGTTGGTAATATAATTCTGATTTATACAGACATTTCAGTAAAAAAAAAAAAGTTGTGCTATTAGCATGAATTTATTGGTATAATGTTGATACGTGATCTACTACCAAATTTTAATTATCTTTTTTCCTCCTTTGCTTGATATTTTAGGGTAGAGCTTTGCTGCATTGGGCATGTGATAGAGGACATAAAGAACTTGCTACAGTACTTCTCCAACACACTGCTGATGTTAATAGCCAGGTATGAGCTGGAGCTACGATGACTGTGTTCACCTTGTATATTTTGGAGTAAAAAAAATTACAATAGATCATTTTTGGTTACACCATTTAGGTATTTGCAATATTCTTTTATTATTTTGTGTTAATTATTTCATGCCTTTTAGTGGTTTAACAAGATTATTTATTACCTTATTTCTTACCAGAATTATACTAGACTTCATACAGAACATTTTTTTAAAGTGATATGGTTTGAAAACAGTAGTGACAAGGAAAGGATTATTTAACTGTTTTCTTCTCACACTGGTCCATTCAGAATTCTACTTTCCTATTAGTGTATTAATGTGGGGGAGACATGGAAAGTGACTGCTTCTTTATTTTGGTGATGAAAAAAGCAGATTGAAAAATGTACTCTTACATGAGCAGACAGAAAAAAGTAAGCAGCACTTTTCTTTTCTGGAATGAGTTGAAATAATAGTGAATTGGAATAGAAGAATTTTTGAGGAACAAGTCAAAAGGTTTGATTGGTGAAAGCACTGGCTGCTATGAAATAGCACAACAGATGTAGGAGAAGAGGTGGCAGAGGCTGAGATGGAGTCAACAGATGAATCATCCCTACAAGTGGTCTAAATCCAACCCTCTTGAATTCCATTATCTTGTGGCCAAAATAGTCCTTACTTTCGTTGTCTAGGTTCCTGCCCATAAGCATGAGCAATAAATTAGTTTAATTGGAACTTAACATGTGGACCTGTTCTTTTGTGTGTGACAGCATATCACTATGTAGATTGAAAACAAAAGTGCAAAGCTAATATGAAAATGAATGAATGAATGAAAACAATAAATAGAAAACAGAATGGAAAGTTTGTTTAAAATAACCTTTCTTCACTTATGAGGCCTAAAGCTGCTGCAGAAGAACTATTCCATAATTACAGGCAACATGTTTATGCTAATATGGAACAGAGGGCGGATTTCTAGTGGATGTATACCTAACATTCATCAGTAGCCCTTGTTAGCAACTGTAGTCCTGAACATATAAAGAATGCTGAAAGAATACTGAATACATAAGTAGTAGCATGCTTCATTCAAAAAGAAAAATGTTCAAAATATTGTTTTCTTATATTCAGAGTCTGGGTTTACCCAACAATCACTCAGTGACTATACATTATAGTAAATATAATTTTAAAGAGAGAAGTATAAGAGGAAAAGAGATGGGAGGTTCCCTTTTGTCTCTTAAACACAGAAATTCAATAATAATAATAATAGGCCAGATGAAACACAGACAAGTCCTTACCTTATTATTTCCTAGTGGTCAAAACAGCTCATAAGTGCAAATAAATTGTGCAATCTTCAACAAATATTTTATTTAGGTTTATGAATATGGTTTAGTTATCATCAACAGATTTGGAAACATTTAAGTGATTGCTGAAAAGCCACAAAGAAGTATTTTTAGTTACATGCTTAGGAAAGAGATGAAAAGTAAAACCAAGTGCTCTGATTTATTGGGCGGACAACGTAAACTGTATCTATTTCCAGGTAATGTTGCATAAGTAAAATTTATTCTTGAGATTTTAAATTTCAATAGTTATTAAATATGTGTAGCTATAGGAAATTAGATCTATTGATATCACAAAAATATAAAATACAGTTAAAATCTTTTATCTATTGATAGATTAGATGCCATCAAATGCTGTCAACTCTTAGTGACCATATTGATTGATTTCCTTTAGGAAGGTGTGCCCTCATCTTGGTTCTTCAGGTCTTCCAATGGCATACTTATTGCTATCGTAATTAAGTCCATCCACTTGCTGCTGAAAATTCTCTTTTCTTTCTTTCCACCTTTCATAGCATTTAGACCTTTCCCATGAGCTAACTCTTTGCAAAATGTGCCTGAAATATGATGATTTGATCTTGGTTATTTGTACCCTGAGCAAGAGTTCTGGGATAATTTATTCAATAATACATTTATTTTGTTTTGTTCATTATCAGTGGTATTGTCAGGAGTCTTCTCCAACACTAAAATTCAAAAACTTTAATATTCTATTCTATTTCTTCAAAGTTCAGCTTTCACTTGTATGGAGTGTTACAGAGGAAATCATTACTGCAAGATTTTGATTTCGTCAGGTATAAATGCAATCAGGCACCTGAATATTTTTTTCAAAGTCACTTCATTGACTTCATTCAAAATGAACGAAGACTTTACTTGGTTTTTTGTGTCTGTTTCATCTTCAATATCTTTACAGATATTGGTGTAATACTGATTATCTTTTTAAACAACTTTGTGTAATTGTTTGCTAAATTCTTTCTTGAAATTTTGATCTTTGTTGTCTTGACTTTTGTCTTCTTAGCAAATTAATTGGTTTATTCTGACATCCAGTTTGCTTTCTTGTGCTTCTTGATCTGTGGCAGTTGCTTTTCACCTTCATTGTTAACAACTTTTTTCCATTCCTCAGTTCCCAATTTAATGATTGGAACATAAACCTGGATACCTGTCATATTAAACATAGTTGTCCACATAGTCTAATTGATACTATTTGATCACAAATAGTATTGTGATATAGTATACATTGTAACCAAATAGTTTTTGTTATATTCTTCCTAGCTGTAACAGTGTCCTATATAATAAAAGGTGTGATCTTTCTACAGAAAATTACCTCATTCCAGTCCATGTCCATCTCAGTTGACAGTGTGGTCAATTCATTTCATCATTCACTGTATTAAGCTTACTGACTTTTGTGTTTTTTACATTCCATGTTCCCATTGTAATTCTCTCTGCAGCTTTGGAATTTATTTAAATCCAAAGAATTAATCCTAAAGTAAATGGGGACATCAACAATAGTCCCAAAACCTTTAATCTAGCTGTATCAGAAATACCATTACTATTTCCATTTAATACTGATCCTACACCTACTGCCTTTTAACTTCTACATTATTTAGATGAAGCTAATGCAAATAAGGCTATATTTTGTGACCCACTTTCATTAAAATTAAATAAAAGAATATTTATTTCAGACATAATTCACTTATTTACTTTCATATAATGGCCAACGTAAAAGATAATAGGGTTAATCCACAATTTGAGAATGTCAGGAGCAGTCTTTTTTTTTTTTTTTAACAGAAATTTGTAGTATCATCTATCAATTGCAGTTGAAGGTATTGTATACAATCTTAAAGCTGCAAATATTTTCCCAAATTCTGGTTTGGGATGCTCTTTTATGATCCAGTTTTAAGCTATTATGCCAAGCTGAGAAACTAGTTGTAACCTTAAGATTATTTTCCCTCTTAGTCAGAAGCTTTTGAAATTGCCACATAGTATTATTGAATCACAGTGACAGTATGGCCAGTCCTTCCTGCCCTTAAATAATAGGAAAAAGTCCACCTCTTTGCGTGTTAATTATTACCTTTGACAATACATTTTAAAAGAGGTGGTGATTGCTTGGAAAATGGAGGATGCACAAAGGATTGTTTTGGGGAGGGAAGCCTTGCTTTGTGTTGAAAAAGATAATTTGTCTAATCTAATTACCTAAATCCTTAGCCATAGGCCATTTCCTGATAGGTGGTTGTGTGCAAGTATTATGCTGAAAACTAAGACGATTTAAACTTATTTAAAATAAATGACTGTCCCAAAATTTTTAAAAATAATTTATTTGGAATAACACTTTGAAAACAACGTAGATATAAATATATGGTCTCACACAAATATCCTATGGTATGTAAGAGTTTAGATTGCTTTATAAATTCTTACCAATAGAAAGGTAAATGGGGGATAAAAAGTAAAGTCTGAAGAGAACATTATGTTCAGCAGTGATTCAGCATCCCATTCAAACTCTGGGTTACTGTTTCTTTTGGGTTCCAAATTCAATGACACAATAAGTTCACTGGATGGGAAATAAGGCTGCACAAGATTGGTGTCTGAGATCCTTGTCTGAAATCATTACTGTAACCCTAGAAATTAATTGATAAACGAGAATGAAAACCAATGCCCTCTGGATCTCTCAACTGCTGTTCCTTAAATTATAGCGGCACAATTCATCATAAGCAAGATAAAGAATTCAAGACCTTGTGGCTGCATCAATGCGGTTATTTTTCCAAGAACTACAGAAGTCATTTTCATTCATTTCTTTATGGATTTTACTTCCCAATTTTGTCATTAATAATTCTTGAATTCTTAGATGCTTTCCCATTCAAATATTGACTCTCCAAAATTGACTCTCCTTAGTTTCCCAGATCAACCAAAATTGTCTAGGTGCTGCCACTTAGTGAAACTCTGAATAATCAGACAGTATATGTCTGAATATATGTGGAAGGAAGATGGATTAGAAGAAGGCCATGTTTTAATATTGGATTAAGAAATATCAATAATTATGCTACGATATATAGATGCCACTAGTCTGATACCTGAAAATGCAAATGATCTGCAAGTTCTCCCCTGAGCTGTTCAGAGCATCCGGTAATGGGAGGTGCTTCAGTCTCTTCTTAGGTAGGCTGGGCTTAATTTTGAGGATGCTCCTCTTCCTCCATGAGACTCCTCCTTAGCGTCCCCAGTTTTAGCTCAGCCTTCCTAGAATCAGGTTGTGGTTTCTTTGGCTGGAATAGAGCTAGGATAATTCGTTGAAATTGCAGACCCAGGTTTGGTGATTTATCTCCCGTTTTATTACTCTGTAGCTTCCGACGGCCTTCCTTAGACCATCTGGCCATTGGACCTTATCAGATCGCTCGCTAGAGCATGCGCTCGAGCGCAGTGGAGGCTGTGTCCTCAAAACAACAGAGGCTTATCTCTCCAATCGTTTCCCTTCCGATCATCCTGAGGCAAAAGCCTCCAAATGTCTGGTGCAGCTCTCAACATCGAGCGCACAGACAGTATCTGAGGCTTCCCCCCGCAGAACACCTTCGAGGGGAGAGAATTAGGCTCTGTACCCTCCCCGCTGAGCGGTTTTGCCTGCAGCAGATCAGGCAGTGATAGCTGCTCTTTTGACATTGTGCCACGAGGTGGCTGCCATTTTAAGCCAGCCGCGTGGCAAAAAAAAT